CATGTTAGTGGTCCGGTTTTAAGACAATAAGGGAAACGGTAAGTCACCAGGCGAAATCGATTTTTTCTTCGCATAAAGGGTAATCTGTTATTTAGTCAGGTACTCTAGAATCTTCCAGACTCCTTTTGACAAAACCCCAGTGAGGGGGCCGAGGCGGAGGCAATTAGAGATATCAGGCCTCCAGGGGGAGAGTGTTAAGGGGAGATCAGCCATTAGGGGAGAGTGATTAGGGTCGATCAGGCTGTCAGGGGAGAGTGTTTTAGGGGGGGATCAGGCCGTCAGGGGAGAGTGGTTAGGGGCATCAGGATGGCAAGTAGAGGCAGTTAGGGGTGATCAGGCAGGCAGGCAGAGTGGTTAGGGGTGATCAGGCAGGCAGGCAGAGGGGTTAGGGACAATCAGGAAAGCAGGCGGGCAGAGTGGTTCAGGGCGATTAGGCAGGTAGGCAGGTGAGCGGTTAGGAGCCAGCAGTCCCGGATTTCGAGAGGGATGTCCAACATCCCCTGAGGGGTCCCGGATTGGAGAGGGTGCAGGCCGGGCTGAGGGAACACCCCCCCCCACACCCTCATGCACGAATTTCGTGTACCAGGACTCTATTCTATAATAATAATAGTGTAATATGCTAATTAGACTGGGCATCCTTCTGGACGTCCTTTAGGGTGACCTTCTGGACAAAGCTGGGGCTGCAGGCGTGGGATCGAGGCAGCTGCTACGGCTACAAAGGCCTACTCTTGCACAAATTTCATGCATTGGGCCTCTACTACACTATAATTACAAATATATAAAAATATAAAGACAAATGATAAATAACTTCAAGTAATAACTGATTGTGTTAGGATTGTCAATAATGAGTAACTTCTCTTTATTTTTACAACTTGTATGTCATATAAATAATTTTTCAAAATAATGCACAATGTCTGCTTATCCTTTCTCATACTTGAGATTTCAGATTTGTTTATTTCATTGAGCATAGAATTGTCTCCACTCCTGAGTGCACATCCCTGTAAAGCTCCCACATGTACAGCAAAGTCTCCATTTCGCTGTCTGGATCCTCTCCTTTGTGTTTCTTTGCCACACACTGGAAATTCCGAATTAGACCCTTCTTACTGCCTGGGTTACCCACCCATGCTGCCCAAATGGGGCTTGTTTTTGAAACTCAAAGTGACTTTAGCACAAGTCTAAATAAGACATAATGAGTGAATTAACTACCATAATTATATCATTTCAAAGACTACAGACAGTCCTCGGGTTACATCAGACTCGATGTAAGTCGTTTCATGGTTACATTGCCATCTCCCATTTATTTATAAAAAAAAAAAAGTTCTGTCATTTTGACATATTTACATATGTGCTTTATGTTTTTTATTATTTATTTACCTCAAATAAAGGTCAGGATTTGTTATCTTTTTTAAATTTTTTTTTTTTTTACTGTTTCACTTCATCACTGCTATGTATGTGCTCCATGTGACTGACTTAGGTGCTTATGTAGGTGGGTTCTGACTTACGGCGAAAATCGCCTTATGTCGCACCATAGGAACGGATCTCCGACATAACCCCAGGATGTACTGTACTGTACTGCCAATGACTTTTAAGTTGTCTGATGTTTGGAATGATTTGTCACCACTTTTTCTTCTGTGTTGAGAGTGAAAACAACTATGTTTTTTCTGTATGTTCACTTTTTACTTTTTGGGGCTCCTGGCCTTCATTCTAAGACTCTGGGTGTGGGAACCATGGCAACTGTTCAGATAAAGGAGGTGTTTTGTTATTGTTACCAGGGATGTATACTGACCCCTTCTATTCCCTGTTTCTTTTAACTAGGAAGGTAAAGCGTGAAGTAAAAGTTTTGGCAAAGCTTAGTCATCCAAATATTGTTCGCTACTATAATAGTTGGATTGGAGAAGATTACATCAAAAGGTAACTAACAAGAAATTCTCATAGACGTAATAAGATAGAGGAAACTGTCATTCTCTATCTGTGGGCCATTAATACATTTAATAATCACAACAAGGATGATAAAAGATAAGCAGACACTATTTGAGACACTGTTTATCTCCATTCTGCAGGTAAGGAGACAAAGAATAATCTTTTCCTTCCTCCTCTCCTTGCTCTCAACTTGTTTTCAAGCCGTTTTTCTGTCCTCAGCTGCTTTCAGAATCTCAGGTTTAGCTTTCCTGACTTTGTTTTTTCATAGATTTGTCGAGGCTGGAGAGACAGTCTTAAGGAGGAAGTTTGAACATGTAGATGCTGCAACTGGAGCGTCCCTCCTCAGCTTCCAGCACTTGTCTTTCCCTCTCTCAGGCCCCCCAGATGCAATCAAGGAGTCTCTCTCAAATGCCACAACATCACTCATCCTGGGGTGGAGAGCAGTGAAAATAATATTAAGACCGTGAGCTTAAGGTGATAGAGGCACCTCACCTTGCATACTTACGTTTTGTCTCAACTAAACCACTGTCAAAGGGCTGGAGGATTCAAAAGATGGAAGTCACCCAGTGTTTCCTGTGAATGGTCCTCTCACTGCAATCCCGAGGCCATTGTGGGCTTGTTTATTCATCATCTCCTGCCACCAGCCCAGTCAATGTACTGAGAACTTTATCATCAGTTTCAGGAGTTCTTGACTGGCAGCACTTGGGACTTCAGCTTTTGATAAATTCTTGTCTATCTCTTTCTGTCTTCTAGCCAATGTATGTTCAAAGAATATAAGTTAATATTGAGGCCCACATATTGCTGAAAAAGAAAACACGGTCAGCAAAATCAGTCCTCCCAGTTATATCTCATAGCAGTTTGTTGGCACTTCTTTTAGAGTACCTATCCTTGTGCTATTGTTTTAGGTTTATTTTTCCTTTACCTCTCTCCTATTCAACTGTCATCCCATGACAGTAAGGATAGTGCCTAACTCATTTCCTCATCTCTAGGTGCCTATTCACAAAATGATGCTCATTATATTGAGAGTGAATTGCAATATTTAAAAATTACTTTATATAATAATGAGATTTGGTTTTCTGCAATTCCATTGTATTAATGTTCCCTTTCCTATCTTTTAGAAAGGTGATCAAGGACCTTCAGCATTAAAGGATGGACAGGCTTATACTTTGTAAGTTAGCTAAACCAATAATGCCCTGGACATCTGGGAACTGAGGTTTAAATAATAAATGGTTTATTATATTTTGATTCAAATTTATTTATTTAGATTTCTGTTTTGAGACATGTTTTATGCTCAGTTAGATGGACTTCATCCCATACACCGAAAGATTGCTGGTTCGGTTTCACGTCAGGGCACATACCCATGTTGTGGGTTCAATCCTTGGTTCATGTGGTCAATGTTTCTCTCTCGCATTGATGTTTCTTTCTCTCTCCCTTCTTCTCTCTCTGAAATCAATAAGAATACATCCTCCGGTGAGGATAAAAAAGAAGAGAAGGTACAATTTTAAGAAATAAATGTACCAGTATTTTTTATGAAGTTATTTTTATTGTTACTTCTCTTTGAATTTTATATCCAGATCATTGAGGAAGTGCCTTTTCATCCAAATGGAATTCTGTGAGAAAGGGACATTGGAAGACTGGATTGAGATCAGAAGAGGGGAGATTCCAAACAAGGATTTGTCTTTGGGATTATTTCAGCAAATAGTAACAGGAGTGGATTATATACATTCAAAGGGGTTAATTCATAGAGACCTTAAGGTAAGTGGAAAATTGATTAATGTAATTTAATAATTGAAAAACCCATCTCTTCAAATTTTAGAATTGGTCGACAGTCGTGAAGCAATATCTCTGATCCTCTAAAGTGCGAATGGATCTAGAATTTGTCACACATTTCATTCCCCAGATCCATTTAGAAGATCTCCAGGGGAGTGAGCTTGTCAAGAACCTGAGCCCTGCAGGAAGAAGCCCACTCACTTCTGGTGCTATCTGGCTGATAGTCACTCCAGTTGCAAACACTCGTAGCTTTAACATGCTGAACATCCCGTGCACATAATGATCGTGGCTGGCACAGCCCGCTGGCTGCTCTGTCTCTGCACCTCCTGTTACTCAGGCTTGTCTGAGAGGCAGAAAGACTCTGATGACTATGGCTTTGGGAATTGGGTTCTCCTCTCTCTCAGCCTTTACTCTGAGGGCAGTCACAGCTGCTAGGTCCAGAGTCTAGAATTTCCTTGGCTCCTTGGCATTTGGACACCACTGCCCCATGATTGGAAAATTGCAGTAATCCAAACCTTGGAACCTGTAGCAAACCTTTGTATTTTCATTTCTTCTGTCTTTCTAGCATCCTACGTGGTCTAGAAGCACAGTTTTCCCATTTTTGCATCTCATCACAATGAGTGAAGAGAGAACAGCTTTTCAGTCTCTGCCCCATACTCTGTGCCCTGTGATGTACCCACTCTCATCCCAGACAAGTCATGCGGAATCCTGTCGTTGTCTCTTTGCTCACCTTCTTGCATGGGACTCTCTTCTGCTTGTTCCCTTTACCCCAGCTCCTTTGTGAAGCCTTTCCAGATCACTCCGCATCAGGCAGAAGCACCTCGTCCATATGCATTGTGCTATCTGCTAGCCCACCTATCTGAAACGTCCAGGAATGAGGAATGAAGCAAGTGTTTCCTTGAGTGAAATAAGCACTTATGTAGATAGCAGTTTGTTGGGCGCTTAAATGATATGCATCCTTGGTCTTCCCAGTGGCTGAATGTCTGATGCCTTCATGTTGGAGTCCACCTGGTTCCAATATCTCTCTTTAACAATATCTGAAGGTGTTCTTTGAAGTTGGAACATAATAAGAACTATGTTCAAAAGATACATTTAGAATAGCTATACCTTCACTTTGGAATAAATAATTCATAGCGTTACATGAGAAACCAAGCACAATGATCTATTTGTGCAGTAATTTTTAAGAAAATACGGAAGTATGGGTATTAACTCCCATACCCTCCTGAGGGTAGATTAGTGCAATTCTGACAGGTGCGGACTGGAGTCTGCCTTCTCCTGCACCTCTCCGTATCCCGCACTGCCCCTGCCCCAGGTTGTGGACTGATCTTTTCTTGTGTCTGTTTGCAGACTGTTTGCTCTATCACTGCAGTGGCTCGAAGGTCAGGCTTTAATACTACTGAGCCTTCTTTCATCTTCTCCAACTGTTCTAGCTTCAGTGCTACACTGTCTGCTGTCTCACATCCGAAATAGGGTGCAAACGAAGGCATGCAAGTTTCTTAGTGACGTCTAGCAAAATACCAGCTGCAGGTGGCTTTGCCCGAGAGGGGTCTTTATCCAGTAAATCTCCTCTTAGGTGAAGCCTGCCAGTGTTCACCACTTTCTGCTGGAATCTTAAGAACTAGAGTCACTGAGGGAGGGACATAGACGTTTCTGGAGTGAGGGCTTATGGTTCTTGGAGGTTCAGTCCCCTTAGGCCCAGGCTCTCTGGTCATCCTCTGAGCATCAGACCTGATTCCTGTACCTCCTGTATAAAATTAGCACTCTTTTTTATGTTCTACAATGCAAGATTTTGCTAAGTTACTATAACTGAGTAAACCAATGGTGCATTATTGTTTTTCTTTTTCTTTTTAATGAACACTAAATATGCAATCCGATATTTTTACTACACAGTCCTAGCCAGCTTCTATAGCACCGTAAACGTAACCTGCTGTTTCTCAGAGTCAGGTGATAGAGAGCCTTGTGTGGGACTAGCAGCTGTGCTTGCAGACCCAACATATTCCTGCACTGGAACTTGAATTAGCATTGGCACATTTTTTTTCTCCACACCCACCGCACACACATGCACAGCTTTCCATCTGTATTCTTGGTGCTAGGTTCCAGTCTCACTGTTGCTTACTCCAATCCAACTGCTAATTTCTGTGTGGACCTTTTCTGGCAGGCTTCTTCAAAGCTCCTCTTTCAGCTGCCCTGGGCTGATGTCTCTTCCCTCTCAGTGCCTTTACTCGGCCCTCTCATACGTGTTAGGTCAGGAGGTCTGTGTGTGAATATACAGCCCATCGTTATATTTCAACAATGGCAAAATATTAATTTCCTCCTCAATAATCGTCTATCTTCATGGTCTTTAGAATGTTGGTCAGTACCTTCTATAAATTTGTGAATAGGATGAACACCCCTATCTGCTCAAAGAGTCACATGGGAAAAATACTTCAGTGCTCATTATCAGCTTCCAGTTAACTTGGTATGCCTTCAGGGATAGAGGGGGAATGTTTTTGAAGAAGGTGCCAGAGGCCTAGAGAAATTGACATCCAAGAGCCCCCATGAGAAGTTATACACAGGATATCCTGCAGCATTACTGGGTAGAAACCCAGTCCGAGAATCTCAACGTTGGAAGGGATCTTAAGGGCACCTACTTCAATCTTCATAGAATCCTGGTCTCATATTTGCAACATTTCCACCAAGTGGATGTACAGTTCTGTCTTGAATACTTCCTGGGATAGGGAACTCTTGGACTCGCATTCTTTGAACCCCACTATTAGTATATTTAGGTTACACTAAAGCAAATCGTTTGGCCGTTTCCACCCTCTAGCCCTGGATTTATTCATGGTTCCATGCGGTGAATCCATTTTTAAGTTAACAGCTCTTCAGATATTTGGAGGCAGCTCTGCCCAAGCCTTCTTTGCTGACAGACAAGTTCCAGCTTCCTCAGCTGGCATTTTAAAGACCTGTGATATTAAATTTTCTATTTTGGGCTACCTGTGTAAGTTTAAATGTCTTACACAAGGGTGGGCACAAGTAGGTATACAGTTGTGAGTACACAAAACAGTGTTTATTCTTGTACTATTATTTATTAATTAATTTACTAATTATTGTATTATTTTCCACATGAACAACTGTAACCCTCCTTTTGCCCACCCCTGTAAGTACTTCTAAACAATAGCCGTTGCTAAATATGATTTGGATATGTGATGCCAGTCTGTCAGAGTGGTACTTATGAATTAAATATTGTGTTTTCTTTTACTGTAGCCAAGTAACATATTTTTAGTAGATATAAAACAAATAAAGATTGGAGACTTTGGACTTGTAACCTTCCAGGAACATGATAAACAGCGGACAGAAAACTGGGGAACTCGACTCTACATGAGCCCAGAACAGGTGTGGTCCCTTTCCTTTCTTTCTCTATTGTTTTATTATTTCTTTCATTTTAAAGATATAAAAATAATACACCACTGATAAAATTAAAACAGTGCAGAAGTGTATGGAATAAAAATGGGAAATTCCCCTGAACCTTCCTTTTTACTGTTACTTTGCTAACAACAGTTTGTTGCCTATCTTTTTATTTTTAAAAAAATCTATTTATTACTAATTTTTAATCCTCAACCTGTGGTTATTTTTCCATTGATTTTTTACCCTTATTGATTTTTAGAGAGAGTGGAAGAGAAAGGGAAAGACAGAAATATTAATGTGAGAGAAACACAAATGTATATTTACACAGTGTTTTTTTTACATGAAAATATACATACCTACACTTTTACTGGAATACTACAATGCTCTCTTCTAACTTTCCATCTGACATAAAAACATCATTTAAGTTTTTTGTGGAGTATGAAAGTAGAAGATAATTAAGAGGCTAATTGCCTCCCTTTTACCTCCCGGTTTATTGAATATCCGAGGCCCGATGCATGAATTCGGAGCCAATCGGGGCCGGCGGAGGCGGGGTGGGGGGGATGCAGGAGGTTGGCTGGCCTCGCCCCCAATGGGGAGGTGGGACGATTGGGAGTGGGCCGAAGGGGGCACCAGGGGAGTTTTTTTTGGGGGGGGGCTGATTTGGGCCCTGATCAGGCTGGTTGGTCGCCATAGTGCACATTATAATGAGCGGTTGTTCTGGTCATTCTGTCCTTCCGGTTGCTTGGCTTTTATATATATATTATAGAGAGAGAGCCCGACCAGGGCTTGGGCTGGGGAGGAGCCTGCAACCCAGGTACGTGCCCTTGACTGGAATCAAACACAGATCCCTTTGGTTCGTAGGCTGATGCTCTATCCACTGAGCCAAACTGGCTAGGGCATGTTGTCTATGCTTTTAGATCATTTTCTGTGAGTTATAAACATATACAAATGCATCCTACAATGTCACCCTCAGAATATTTTTTTAAATCATTCATTATTGTGCTCTTAGTTTTCTTGGTGATTTTTAAATTTAAAGAAGATTTTGTTGAGGAATAATTTACATAGCATTAAATGCACAGATCTATTTTTAAAAAATTATTGATTTCAGAGAGGGAGAGAGAGATAGAAACATCAATGATGAGAGAGAATCATTGACTGGCTGCCTCCTGCACACCCCCTACTGGCATGTGCCCTTGGCCAGAATCAAACTCGGGACCCTTCAGTCCGCAGGCCTATGCTCTATCCACTGAGCCAGCCAGGGAGGGCAAAATGCACAGATCTTAAGTATACATTTCTTTAGTTTGACAAAAGCATATACCTGTGAAGCCCACAAGCTTATGAAGGAGAATATTTTCCTTACCCAAGAAAACTCCCTCACACTCTTTTCCAGTCAGTCCTCCTCACCGTCCAGAGGCAGCCAGTGCTCTGATTTTTATCACCATTGATTAGTTCTCCCTGCTCTTAAGCTTCATATGAATGGGACCCATACAGTATGTATTCTTTTCCATTTGATTATGTCACCCAAAGTGATGTCTATTGGAGAACCTCTAATTGTTGCTGTACTAGCAATACTATCCCCTAGTATGAATACAGGCATGCCCCAGAGATATTGCAGGCACGGTTCCAATCACTGCGATAAAAGGAGTATCTCAGTAAAGCAAGTCACATGAAGTTTTTGGTTTCCCAGTGCATATAAAAGTTATTTACACTATCTTGTGGCTTGTCCAGTGTGTAATAGCATTGTGTCTAAACAACAATAACAACAACATATCACATTAATTAAAGAATACTTTGTTGCTAAAACTGCTAACCATCATTTGAGCCCTCAGTGAATTGTAATATTTTTGCTAGTGGAGGGTCTTGCTTCATGTTCATGGCTGCTGACTGATCAGTGTGGTGTTTGCTGAAGGTTGAAGTGGCTGTGACAATTTCTTAAAATAAGACAACAGTGAAGTTTGCCGCATTGATTTAATTTTCCTTTCACAAATTATTTCTCTGTAGCATGTGATGCTGTTTGATAGCATTTTACTCAGAGTAGAACAACTTCAAAAATTGGAGTCAGTTCTCTCAAATTCTGCCACTGCTTTATTCAGTAAGTTCATGCAATGTTCTAGTACTTGGTGAGGCAATAATAGGGAAGAGAAAAGAAACCAGAAGACAGTATTTTGCAATTAAATTTGAATTTATTAGCCTTTTGGGAAAACAATGTCATTTGCTATCCTACATCACAATAAAGTGTTTCTGAATGGATTTCTGATCTAGTTTTTAAAAATGTGATAAAATGAAATACAATAAAATAAGGTATGCCTGTATACCATAATTTGTTTATTTATTCTGTTGATGGACATTGCTTCCAGTTATGAGATATTATGAATAAATCTTCTATGAATATTTGCATGCAAGTTGCTTGCTAGAAACTATTTTAACTGTTTCAGCTGCCCCATCTCATTTAACCCCACAATCACACTCTGAGGTTGAAACTATTGTTATTCCATTTTGTGGTTGGGATTGTTCCCATGTTGATGGTTAATTTACACAGGTGGTTCAGCTACTTAGTGACAAAGATTTGAACTTGGGCAGTCAGACTCCACAGATCTTGCTAACAAAAAAGTACTGTTATATAATACTAGAGGCCCGATGCACGAAATTCATGCACGGGGTTGACCCTCCCAGCACCAGATGCCACCTTGGCCTGCCCTCACAGCAGCCCCAGCTGCCTCGCGGCCCAGCTCCCTGCCCACTCGTTGTTCCGGAAGGTCGTCCCAGAAGGTTGTTTCAGAGTCTGATCTAATTAGCATATTAGCTATTTATTATATTGGATGTTTTAGTCAAGTTAATTTTTTTTGGCTTCAGAAGACACAGATGTTTCTATCAGGTGAATAACAAATGTAAATATATTTTGCTCTCTTTAGCTCGCTTCAGTAGAATATGGAAATGAAGTGGACATCTTTGCCTTAGGGCTAATTCTCTCAGAGCTTCTTTATATACCTCTCAGTCGTCAGGAAACATATAAGGTAAATAATCTCACAGAAATTATTTATTTATTTAGTATGTTTTTATTGATTTTAGAGAGAGGGAAAGAGAGAGATCGAAACATCAATGTGAAAGGAACATCGATCGACTGCCTCCTGCACACCCCCTTACTGGGGATCAAGCCCAACACCCAGGCATATGTCCTGACCTGGAATTGAACTGATGGCCTCTTTGTATATGGGTTGGCACTCAATCCACTGAGCCACACCAGCTGGGCTCACAGAAAGAATTTAGCAACAAAAATTATTGGCCATCTCCCTGGCTGGTGTTCCTCAGTGTTTAGAGCATTAGCCTGTGCACCGGAAGGTCATGGGTTCAATTCCCAGTCCAGGGCATGAACCTGTGTTGCAGGTTTGATCCCGAGCCCCGGTCAGGTCGGATGCAGGAGGCAACCAATCGATGTCTCTCTCTTCCCCTCCCTCCCTCCTTTTCACTATCTCTGAAAAGCAATGGAAAAAATATCCTGGGGTGAGGATTAAAAAAAATTATTGGCTATCATCTTCAAAGTGCTGCTGTAGACAGTTTATTGCCTCAGGTAATAATGGGCCTGAACATATTAACATTGGCTGCAAATGAAATATGGCTTTTCTCTCCTTCATGTTTGGGCAACCAAAACTTTTGTTAGAAATTCTGGTCAAGATGGTGGAGTAGGTAGACGTTGTGCTCACCTCCTGCCACCACTACATCAAAATTACAACTAAATTACAGAACAACCACCCCTGAGGACTAGCGTAACAGAACTTCTCTAACTAAAGATATAAAGGAAAAGCTGTGTTGAGACTGAATATTGAATGTTGTGTGTAATTGAAAAATTAAAATAAAGTAACAACAAAAAAAACCCTTTTTGTTAAACACCAAAAACTTTGTTTGTTTGTTTGTTTGTTTTAAGGTGTATGCATCTCAATAAACCATGGCTCTTTTTTCCTATTTGAATCAATCAGTAACATTTTGAATGCCTGCTTGGCATAAGACACTGTGCTACATGCTACAAGGATTATAAAAACGAATAAGCCTTGTTCTCAGGAAGCTACTGTGAGAGAGAGCTGTACATGTTTTGGGAGAAGGCATGGAGTCTTCGGGAAGCAGCTAGAAGGGGATCATTCCAGCTGTCGGGATTGAGATTTATGGAGGCATTGAAGCTGGGCTCTGAAAGATTGGTTTGGCTTCTCATAGTACAGAATAGAAAGGAGGTGATTCCAGCATGGAGACAGGAACGTGCAGGGTGTGTGTGGGGTTATTAGGCAGCGTCTGATATTTTTATTGGGGTAGATAAGTTACACAGAAGTGGTGGTTGATGGGTTTGGAAAGACATGTTGGGGTAAATTAAGGCAGGAATGTGGGCTTGTTGAGAAGGCGGTGGGGAGCCACTACATGCATAGGGCGACTGGACATCCTAGGCTGTAGCTCAGGAAAAGGGACGCACCTGGAGTCAACAGCCTTCTCCTCTGTAAAACGGTAACGAAACAACTAGCTGTCGCACAGTGCTCCAGGAGGATGAAGGGAGATAAGGCATGTGATGCTCTTAACACTGCAGCATGTTGTGCTGTCAGAGATGCCTATTAGATGAGGCGGGGGCGGGGGGGGGGGCGAGGGGAGGGGGGGAGTCCTGCTACTTCTTGGCTGAAGAGACTTTCCAAAGATCTGAAAATGTCTCAGATTTAGGGCATCTCCAGGCTTCGGTGCTTCCTAAGTTTGTTTTTCCTACCAAGTGAGAAATTTCCTAATGAATATATATATATACATATGTCTTATTTTCAGATTTTCGAAGATCTAAGGAAGGGCCATGTCTCAGATATATTTGATGACAAAGAAGTAAGCACTTGAAAATAATCAGAATTTCATTTTTTCCAATGTTTTATTTTATTTTTTTTTTCATAATGAGTCTTTCTATCATTACAGAAAATTCTCCTACAGAAATTAGTTGCGACTGACCCCAAGATGCGACCCAAAACATCTGAAATACTGAAGACTTTGAAGGAGTGGAATAATGTTCCAGAGGAAAAAATGCGAAACACGCGTTAGTGCCTTTCTAAAAAAGTAGGCTGCTTCTGATGTTCAATTTTCTTGTAATTGTCTAAAATCTGCTAGGGAATATTGATGATATTTACCTGTTATTTTAATTTTTCCCTTATTTTTTTTAAATACATTTGCAGAAAGGTTTACACCTTGTTTTAAAAAATTGATTTTTAGAGCCCGGCCATTGTCGCTCAGGGTTTGAGCGTTGACCTATGAACCAGGAGGTCACAGTTCGTTTCTAGTTCAGGGCACATGCCCAGGATGTGGGCTCAATCCCCAGTGCGGGGCGTGCAGGAGGCAGCCAATTAATGATTCTCTCTCATCATTGATGTTTCTCTCTCTCTCTCTTCCTCTCTGAAACCAATAAAAATATATTTTAAAAAGAAGAAGGCAAATGCTGCTCAGCAGAAACCTCCATCTTTCTAAAAATATGATTTTTAGAAGAAAGGAGAGAGAGAGAGAGAGAGAGAGAGAGAGAGAGAGAGAGAGAGAGAAATATTGATCAGTTGCCTTCCGCATGTGCCCCAACCAGGGGTCAAACCCTCATCCTGGGTATGTGCCCTGACTGGGAATCGAACCTGCCACCTTTTGGTGTATGGGACAGTGCTCCAACCAGCTGAGCCATACTGGCCAGGGCTATACTTTTTAGCTTCAAAAACATTTTTGCATTTGACTTTTCCCTAGCTCAGCTCCTTATTATGAAGACTGGGGAAAAAATCTCTCAATTTTCATATCAATTAATGAATTAATAAATTTTTTTAAAAGCTTGTTTCTAGCCAAAAAGAAATAAGCTCTTTCCCTATTTTAAATAGCTAACAAGCCAGTTGGAGAAAAATTGTAACCATAAAAAGATAAATTATATGCAATCACTTTGGAAAACAGTTTATCCTCTAATAAAGATAAATGTTTATATACCAGAAAGCCATCAATTCCATTCCTACATACATGCCTACAAGAATATTCATAGAAATCTTGTTTATAAAAGTCAAAGGAACAGAAAACCACACTGCTGTCCATCAAGAGAAAAGTAGATACATACATTGTATTATATTCATGCTAGAGGCCCGGTGCACGAAATTTGTGCACTGGGGGGTGGGGTTCCCTCAGCCCAGCCTGCCCCTCTCACAGTCTGAGACCCTCTGTGGATGTCCTACTGACGGCCACAGTCTGGCAGCAGAGACTCGGAGTAGGTCCCCTGTGTGTGTGTGTGTGTATGTGTCCGCTGGGGGCCTGCCCCCAGCCACACCTTGGAGGCTTGGAGCAGGCGCCCCTCTGTGTTGATCTCTCAGGCTCCTGGCCTCCACTGCGTGTTTTTCTCTCCCTTGAGCTGTGGCCAGGGTGGGGTGCTGCTTGCAGGCTGCGCTTTCCTGCTCATGGATCACCGGATCACTGCAGAGACCGGGGGCAGGCCCTGCTGGGTGCTGCCTGTGGGGAACATTCCTGTGCACCTGGGGGCTGCCCGCCCTCTGCACTTGCCTGCTCTGGGATCACCATGGGGCACCAGCTGGCAGTGGGGCTTAGGCAGCACTCGGGGGTCCTGGCTGGGGGCAGGGCTTAGGCGGCAGGGGCTTAGACGGCACACAGAGGTCCCTGCTGGGGCAGGGCTAGGTGACGCGACTGTGCCGCTTAAGCCTAACCGCCCAGGGCTGCACACGGGGTCCGGATGGCATCTGGCACTGGCCAGCCTTGCCTACAGTATGTGCTGGCCAGCCTTGCCTACAGTATGCGCTGGCCAGCCTTGCCTACATATGGCACTGATTAGCCAATGGGAAGCGCAGCGAAGGCATGGTCAATTACCCTTTTTGTCTTTTATTAGATAGGATTGGAATACTACAGAGCAGTGAAAATGGACAAATGACAGCTAAATGTAATAACATGATTCACCCTCAGGAACAATGTAAGCCACAAAGCACGTTACAGAAAATGTATACGGAATGATTCCATTTATATGAAATTCCAGAACATGCTAAATGATACATCTGTGTAAGAATCTAAACAAATGTAAATAATAACAAAGGGAAGGAAATGTTGAGAAATAATAAATTCTGATAAAGGTTATCTCTGGGGAAGGATGGTAGTGATGTGACTGGGAAAGTAGATTTCGAAGGTACTGCTAACTTTTTTTTCTTAAACTGGATGTTGAGTTCACTAGTGTTTACAATTATTTACCTTAAATACATTTTGTATCTATTCTTACATACATTTTAAAGCACCAGTTGGCAACCTGTGATCCATGGACCACTAGTGGCCGTGAGGTCCGAATGGTTGGGACGGCTCTTTAAAGAGATGATAACTCTCCTGTAAGGCAATAGCTAAGCATAGAAAATAGTTAATCTGCACAGGGCTTACAAGTAATACTCCAGCTGGGGATTTGGATGAGGAGAGAGGAGACCCAATGGGCAGTCTGGGCAAGGGGCTTGGCATATTAGATGACATAGAATAATTATGCATTTTCTTTTAAAAATATTTTTATTGATTTCAGTGAGAAAGGGAGAGGGTGAGAGAGAGAGAAACATCAGCGATGAGAGAAAATCATTGATTAGCTGCCTCCTGCACACCCCACAGTGGGGATTGAGCCTGCAACCTGGGCATGTGCCCTGACCAGGAATGCAACTGTGACCTCCTGGTTCATGGGTCGATGCTCAACCATTGAGCCACGCTGGCCAGGCAGTATTCATTTTCTTAGGTGTGATATTGATATTGTGGTCATGCAGGAAAATGTCTTATTCTTAGTCAATGCATGAAGGAGTATCTAGGGGTGAAGTGGCATGAAGTTTGCAACTTTCAAATGTTTAGCAAAAATCAATGTGTAAATGTTAACAGTTGACCTTTTGATAAATCTAGGTTGAGGGTATAGAAGTGTTTTTTGTCATATTCTTTGAACTTTTCTGTAGGTTTGAAATACTTCTGGGAAGGGAGAAATCTTTTTTAAAAACCAATATTATCTGGATATAATGAGTAAGGCTGTACTCAAAAGAAGGCAGCCTTGTTTTTACTTTCTCATTTTAATATTCATGTTATCTCTTGGAAGTTTTTATTTGTGAGTATATATTTTCTCAGCCTCAAAATTATAATGAATAAAATGTTTCCTCTTAATCAGAGGAGGAGAGGGGCAAAATCCAGAGACCTTATTTGCAAATTATAAAGCACACGTGGAAATTTTGAAAGATATATCTATATATGATATATATAGATAATGCATTCATCTTTTTAAAAAATTTCTTTTGCTGGAGTATTTTAAAACAAATTTAAGGAATTATGTCATCTCACTTGTAAATACTTAAAATGATCTGTATCTCTAAGAGATGTGATCTTTTTAATGTTAACAAAACTGCAATATCATTGTCACTGAACAAAATTAACAAGATGTTTTTAATTACTACTATATCATAATTCAGCATGCATTCAGTTTTCCTGTCTCAAAAGTATCTTTCTACAGGCTGTTTCTATCAGAATTCAACATTGCATTTAGTTGGTGTCTCTTTTACTCTCTAACATTTACCCTTGTTTTTAGTTTCTTTCTTCTGGCCATGTATTTGAGGAAGGAACTGGAATATTTATCATAGAATTTACTCCATTCCGGATTTGGCTGATGGTATCCCACCCGGGTGTCTAGTTAGTTCTAGAAACTTGATTTGATTCTGATTCGATACTTTCCCCCCCAAGAATACTGCAGAGGTGATATTGTATCCTTTCTGGTTACAACGTCTGGTGGTTGCACTTTGGTTGATTTTCAGATTGGTCGGTGGCTCGTGGTGCTGTCATCCGTCACAAGGCTTCCTTTCAATCTTTCACCTAATGGTTTTAGCAACCATTGATGAATGTTGTCTGGATCCATTAATTCATTAGGGGTTACAAAATAGTGATTATTGGATTCCATCAAACCTCTTGCATTTATCATCTATGATTTTTCTATAAAGAACTATCTCTAAGGCTGAATGGGAAAGATGTTCCTGCAAGAATAGGGCTTCCTGCGGCCAGAGCGAAGCAGAAAATGGAGCAAACCCCTCCGAGGCGGGCTTTGCTCGTGCCTCTGGCGCCCCGCTTGCTTCCTCCCACCCCCGGCTTGCTTCTCAGTAGCTTTGCTCCCTTCTGCAGCTCTTGGCTTCCTTCTATGTTGTCTTCAGTCTAAGCTTGGTGCCTGTGTATGCAAATTAACCGCCATCTTTGCTCGGATATTTTTCCATTGATTTTTAGAGAGAGTGGAAGGGAGGAAACATCAATGTGAGAGAGAACCCTTGACGGGATTTGAATCCAGGACCTTTCAGTGGGCATGCTGACTCTCTATTCATTGAGCCAAACTGGACAGGGCAGCGATGTCTTATCTGATGAGTGATTTTGGGAGACGGAACTTAGCATGTGAGGCTCAGTGTCTGGTGGATCCTCTCACCTAGAAAGTTAACTGGTCTCAAATGCAAAGTTGGGCTGTGTCCCTGCAAGCAGAGAGAGGCCTGCAGTTCTCGCCAATCAGGCAGATTTATTAGGGAGCCTGACTGGAGACAGGTCAGCCTTGCTCTCTGTTTTAGCTTCACGGACAATAAAGCTGATATTGTGATATCTGACTTCCACATCTTATTTTTTAACTTGTTCCGAAGTGAAGAGGGGAATAAGAGAGTTACCTGTTGGTGTCCTTAAATTCCATAAGCATCACAATAGAGCCATAACTTGTAATGGCCCATCTGGTGTTCTGAAAAAGCATTCCATTATTTTATTTTTGGAGCCCATGAACTTTTATATTTTAAAGTACAAAGTACCTCTAAAGTAGAAAAAAAAACATAAAATTTTTTGGGAATTCTAACTGCTTAACTGTCTAGGAAACAACAGCATTTTCCAAGTTTCTACTTTATTGAGAATCTTAGTCATGATCTGCAGAAGTTGGTCCTGGGCAATTTGAAGACAGGTCTTCTTTATCTGTAATTTACATGAAGAAAATAGAACACTTGTAAACTATTCTAGAAAATTATTTCAACATAACATGCATTTTGTAGCTTTGTTTGCTCCTGATTGTTAAACCAGGAAAAGATACTCGTAAAAACAACAATAACCAAAACTTCTTCACTCTCAAGTTCAAAGCTCTTAAATTCGAGTTAATAAAGCCAGCATGGGCAACTGTATTAGAAGGGAAAGCACTTGGCTCTGTAATACATATGACAAGTTTTAAACCATTTCTCTCTAAAATTTAAAATAAAAAAGTGGGTTTCAACATGCTGATTTTTATGGTTCAAGGACAAATATTCTATTTATATAATAATGAGTTCTAAAAAGTTAATATATCTTTGAAGTATCTATAACTTAAGAAATATTAAAAATAAAGCATAAAAAAATTATCCTTAAGTGAATAAAAGACTGAAAAATTCCCTTCTGCACTTTGTTTCCAAACAGTTAAAAACACCTTTAACAAGGCCTCAATTATTTCTATGCTTACTACTTATTTAAGACATTGATTCTACATTACCTTTTGGATAGACTAAGAAATTTCCATTATCTATGGGAAATATGACGTTCATAAAAAAAATAAAGTTAAAATCAAAGAGCATTTGTATTCAATATTTTTTACAAGTTTAAAGCATTTTCTTACCTTCATAGGCTGTTCCACACCAAATACAATACAGATGTTCTTCTCTTAAATAACTCGTCAATATCTGTAATTTGTCCAGTACCTAGATATAGGACACAAGCACATTAGTGGTTCACATTGACCGGGATCTTGGTTTTCTGGTCTCTGGGATCATGCTGAACTAGCCCAAGGCCATAAATCTCCCGCTACACTCTCTCCCAGTCAGGAGAGGCGTGAAAGGCAGAATGTTTTAGCATGTGTCCCACTTTACCAGCTACCCTGATTATTTTCACAAGTTTTCCAGACAGAATAAAGACTACATGTTAACATTCAGAAATAGAATTTGGCTGGCTCTATTAGGATGAGGATTGTTTAAAGATCACTTCTACTTTCAAGGAATCTAACTTCCCCAGTGGGATGAGGGAGAACACTGCCTCCCTGTGCCATTACAGTTCTCATCAGTGGTCTCCCATTTAAGTGGAACATAGGTTTCTCAAATTTTGAATGTTTCCTACCAAAGTCTTATGTACATGTAACCATAGAAATGTGTAGTGATTTCTTGAATAATGTCCTCTTCCTTTGAATTGAGGTTTGCTTTATCTTGTTTGTGGGTGGGGAAGAAGGGTACTTATGAGAATCAATTCCACAAGTTTAACAGGAAACAAGGTAAAAATGAAAATAATTTACATTTGCAGCTAATCCATCAACCACACTAGAGCAGAGATGAGAGGGTAAACTGAAGCTAAAGGGAAACATTATAAAGTTTTGATCTGGGGTTAACAAACCTATAAGGCAGTTGTTCTCAACTAGGGGTGATTTCCCGTCAGAGGACATTTCACAATGTCTGGAGATATTTTTGGTTGTCACAAGGGGGAAATATAACAGGCATCTTACAATACACAGAACAGCACCCCAGAACAAACCACTACCCGGCTCAAAATGTCAATAGTGCCAATGCTGAGACACCCTGCTCAAGGAAATGGTCCCAAAACATACACTTAAATCGTCACTCTCATATTCATCTTCATCTTGTTCGTTTTCTTCCTCTTCCTCTTCTTCAGTCTCCTCTTCGAGCCTCAGCCAGTACCAGGCCTCCCTGGGAACCTGTATATTCTGAAAATGTAGAATTGTTCCCAATTAAACATAGCTAAACGTGAGACTATCACCAGTATGTTCATGTCAACATGAATTCATCCTTTTGATTAAATATTTACTGAGTGCTGCTTCAAGAGTAAAGCACTGCACTGTAATCTCTGGGGATGCAAAACCCAATTAAAATATATATATATATTTTTAAATCCTCATCCCAGGACATGCTTATTGAATTTTAGAGGGAGATGGTGGGAGAGACAGACAGAGGGGAAAACATCAATGTGAGAGAGAAACATCAATCAGTAGCCTTCCTGTACAGGGCCTACGCACCCCAAATGGGAATTGAACCTGAAACCTAGGTATGTACCCTGACCAGGAATCAAACCTGCCACCTTTTGTGCATGAGACAAACCTCTAACCAACTGAGCTACCTAGCTACAGCCCAATTAGAATATTGTATTGTCTCCAAGTTGCTGTCAGTATAGTAGGGAAAATAAGCTATGGACATAAATAGCTTAATAGATATAAAATAATACATATAAGGACACATATGTAATGCCTTAACCAATAAAGAAAAATATATAAAATAATACATAAAAGCTAGAAAATCTTAAGAGTCAAGACATACATTCAAAATAAAGTGCTAGGGAAATATATAAAAATGAGGTTGCTCCTAGCAATATATTTCAAGATAATAGAAATTTTTACATTTTGAGACTTTAAAAACTATATTTTTAAAACTGATTCTGAGAGAGAGAAATCAATAAAAATTATATCTATTTTTTTGTCAGATGGGCAAAAAATACATTTTTTGGTGTGTCACAGATTTTTAGTAATTAGTTTATTAGATGTGCCATTAGATGATAAAGGTTGAAAATTGCTGCTTACTCCGCAGAAGACGAGGTATACCAGAATTGGAATGTTTTGTTGGTTTGTTGTTTTTAAACGTAAATTCATGGCAAATCACATTGGGTGCCAAAACACTTCACTACCAAACTGAAAGCAGGTAAAAGGCTTGCCTTCTGAGTATCCAATTGTTGACAAGCTCGCTGGCTTCTTCTAAGATCTCCTTCCAGCTTCATTTCATCTTGCTTACTTTTAAGTCGCATTCTAATTAAAGAAAAAAAATAGCACATTACAGGTCTGTACTTGCTTTATCCATTTTCTATGCCCAAGTACTAAAAAACTACCTGGTCAGTGGGCTCAGTGGTTGAGGGTCAACCTATGAACCAGGAGGTCACAGTTCGATTCCCAGTCATACTTGTCTAGATTGAGGGCTCTAACTCCAGTGTGTGGCATGCAGGAGGCAGCCGATCAATGATTCTCTCATCATTAATGTTTCTATCCCTCTATCCCTCTCCCCTCCTCTCTGAAATCTATTAAAAACAAAAACACACTGAGACAAGATGAAACCAAAAGCAGCTCAAATACAAAGTTTTACCGGAACTGCTCTGCAGCGTTTTCTTCAGCTTTGTTTTTCATGTGAATCTTTCTTCTGTAGCTTTCTAATTTTTCCTCTGCTTTCCGTTTTATTAAAGTCTCATGACCAATGCCACTTTTTCCTGTTCAGACAACTCTGTGAGAAGCTTATTAAATTTACATTTCAAAACGTGACAATTTTATATTTACAAATTAAATGCAGTTGTAACTTGAGTACAATCACTGAAAATCATTTGATCAGAATGACAGGAGAAAACAGATTAAAACAACAACAACCCTAAACACACAATTTGAGTTTTTACAAAGACCATTATTAGTTTGATCTAATATGACAGTAATACTATACAATTTTTTTAAATTGGGAGAACAACTCCAACAGTTACACTTTCATATAAATATGATGAACAAATAAAACATATATTTTTCAAATATAATTCATTCAAAGTATTAAGAAAAACATTTATTTTTAAATTTTATTTTGCAAATGCAGTTTACATTCAATATTATTTTGTATTCATTTTAGGTGTCTAGCATACTAGTTAGACAATCATATACTTTACAAAGTGATCTGATATTTAAGGAAAACTTTTAATGGATAAATCTGTCTCAGAATACTTTCAGAACATTTCAATTGATAAAAATACCTTTGCATTTTTAAAGGCTACAACAATTTCCCCCCAGATTTTTTATTATTTAAAATTTTATACTCACTAAAACTTATTTTTATTTTAAAAGGTTTAGAAATTTAACTAAGAAAAATTTTCCTAAGGACTTCCTATGATAAAAACTGTAACAGTACCACCATAAAAAAGTACTTATTAAGCAAATGTATGTGCTAGATATAAGCATAAGTTATTATTACTGGTAAATGTCCCTAAAAATAATTACATACCTGTTTTGACATGGAGAGGAATTGGTTCAACAATACCATCTCCTAAAAAAAAGAGAACAAAACACAAACTACTTTAGAAATTCTTCCTCAAACTATCGACAAGCAGAGTATACAACTTTACAACGTTCCACAGAAATCCTCTCCTGTTTCAGGGATATTCAAACTGCAATCTGAACATCAATACTGTAAATCAATTACCTCATTTTGAATACATAGTCCTCAATAAGGCTGACCCACAGCCTCCTGGGTCACCTAAAGGTAGTGTTTTAAGAAGTAAAAGACTTATATTAAACATCCAAGAGGATGACAGAAGCTACTTTAAATATATGGCCTCTATATTTTATTAAACGGTTTCACTTCCTACAAAGAGAAGTGAGAATGGAGCCTCTCCAACTTAGGCAGCTGCTACAGGTACAGAGCAAACAGGGTAGAGTCTTGGCATAGTCCTCATGTTGTTTCATTTTCCTTTGGCCATTGTTGGCTGTTGTCTCCATTGTAAGCTTTGCCATCCCCATTGTTAGTGACTTCAAGGCTGAGCTGGGCTGATAAGCAGCTCTTGGTGGCCCATGGTTGTAAAGTGGATGTGGGAAGATGAAAGTTCTCCATAATACTTGTTAGCACAAAAGAGACTAAGACGCTTAAGTTGTTTGGATTTCTGTGTAGATGAATAAGATCAAACAGTCATCTCTGGTACCCATGGGTGAACCACCATTTCGTGGTTAGGAACACTTTTTCATTTCTGCATGTGACTTACCACTCTTGCCAAGGGCCTGACCACTTTTATATCCCATCTTCTGGAGCAAAGCAAACCCTTTGTTTTCACAGCCTAGTGCATTCTTCAACCCAATGTCACGTCTTTCTTGTTCTTCTTCTTTTAAACTCTTCTGCCTATTTTTCAAATTAGCTTCTTGTTGCTTTTCTTCTTTTCGACGGGCTTCTCGAACTTGCCTCAGCATTGGCAATCCTGGTCTGATATCTTCTCTGAAGAATAAGGGAAAAGGCTGTTTTAGATGAGTACATGAAGTTTTCTCATGACTTTGAAACTTACTCACCTGACACTACTTCATATTTCAGTGCTACCTCTCTGACCATCTTTGTTATCATAAATATTAGAATGTAATCGGTGACCTGAGAATGGCTATTTTAATAAAAATGACGATGGTTGTTGCCAGATTATGGAAAACTAAAGAAAGTTTACAGTTTAAAAAGTAAGTTTTCATTAATTTTTCTAGGTGACTGGCAACAATAATGAGCCAAGCTGAATAGTAGCTAGGAGAAACAAAAAGATGAAATAAAGGAAAGGAGCAAATTTCCTAGGAAGAGGGGAATAAAAAGAATCAAAGGCAGAGTAATATGCGTAACACTCAGAGGCTCCTTGTAGCACTGTATGGATATGTAGATGGTGTTCCAATAAAGCAATAAAACTAACTTTCCAACTTCACATTTAAAGTTAATGTCATTGCTTCAGAGTTTACATTAATGTCTTATACACAGCATTCCATTGCTGGAAGCCGGTCCATCCTTGCTGCTTGACACAGTCGCTGCAGGGAAAAAACATCTGCACAGCATATGTTTCAAGGGACCTAGCGTATATGGCATACTTAATATGTTTGCTCACCTCCTTGGTGCTATGTGTTTTAACCAAGGTCACCTCTCTGAGAAAGGTTGTTTCCCCAGGTAGGGATTTTTCCCTGAAGTAAGGGAGGGAATAAAACCCCTTAACTAAATGCCAGGCGGGTAGTTAATCACTTTAACTATGAACAATCACCCTTAAGCTACATAATCTTTACTCCCTGGAATGGAGATAAGAAACGCCCTAACCTTTCCAATAGAAATGGACAGGATTAAAATCAACTGGTATAAATACAGATGTAACAAGACAATAAAAGACAGAACTTGGCTGGAGATCCTGGCTAGAGATCCTGGCTAGGCTGCTGATCACCTGAACACTGCCCCTGTGTCCTTCATTCTTTGCTGACTCCGTCCACACCTTTGGGGACCCCTGGACCTGCTGGGGCTGGACCCCAACATTCCATGAGGTGTACACATTGACTTACTGGACATTAATGAAGGAATCAGACATATAGTCCTCTTCTTCCTCCATGTTCAACTTCATATAACAGAAGTATCTGCAAATCAAATAGGATAGGGTAACAGTTATTAATTTTTAAGAGTCTGATTCTGAGCTGGGGCTTGAGATTATGCATTTCTAAAAGGTGCCCAGGTGCTGTTCATGCTTTCCTTTGGGAGCCCAGCCCTTTGGCCTCCACGTGGTTCTAGAGGAAGGTGACAATTCCTATACTCTCTTAGGCACAAGATGGCCAACTGTAGTACTTTATGTCCCGGCAACAGGGGAGGGGATGACTTAACCAGGGCAAAGAAGACCCTCTTTCCTTACATGGTATGAATATGTGGGTTGTGGGGAAAGAAACTCTTCATTGGGGTTTCTGAACTGGAAGGATGTGAAGCTGGGCTGCAGATGGCCATCTTCTTGGCCATATGAAGAGATCCTGTTCTGCAGAATGAACCCAGACAGAGAAAACGGACAAAGATAGGCCTAAAAGCAATGGGTGTCCAACCCTAGTTTCCAAGATCATGATTTCTGTAGTTCTTTCTTTGACTCTGTGACCTAGCATTCTTCCCAACTACACAGGCTAATAAGTGTCCTCATTCCTTAAACTTGCTGGAGTAGGAATTCTGTCAACTGATCATTGGATGAAAAAAAATATTACTGTACTAGTTTTACATATTTTTAATGTCTATCTTGCCAACAGAGTTGTAAACCACAAAGACAAATCCCCTGTATGCCAATGCCTACACCATTGTGTCCCAAACATCATAAATTCTTAATGTTCAGCAATGATGAGAAAAAGGGTCTTTAATGATATTTGTAATTTTGTGATAATAAATGCATTTTCCCTACAGTGTCATGTCTTATTTTTTAAAAAAACTTGATGTAAGTATATCATCAATACAGAAAGCCACATAAAACAAATGTACAGCCAATGAATTATCATGAGGCAAACACTCTTATAACCAGGTGGTAGCCTCCAAGATGGCCCCCAATGATTCCTGCGTCTCGGTTTTCAACAACCTTGTGTAGTCTCCTTCCACAGTAAACAGGATTGACCTGCGTAACCATGCGGATATTGTGGAAATGAAGGAGTATGACGGCTTGGTCATAAATGACACTACAGCTCTTAGATCACTCTGACTCAGAAGTTAGATTACTCACTCTGAAGGACGTCAGCTGTCATGTAGTGAGGACACTCACGCAGCTCAATGGAGAGGTCCACACGGGAGGAACAGAGGCTTCCTGTGGACCACAAATTTGAAAGCGACATGAGTGAGCTACCTTGGAAATGGATCCTCCAGTGCCAGTCCAGCCTTCAAATGACTCAGCCTGGGCTGGCATCTTCACCATAACTTCTTAAGAAAGCCCAAGCTAAGCTAAGCCAGTAAGAAATTCCTGATCCATAGAAACTGTGATAGAATAAATGATTATAGTTATTCAAGCTGATAAATGTCGGGATAATTTTATACAGTGAAAGATAACACAAACCATCACTCATATCAGAAGCTAGAACCTCGCTGGCCACCTCAGGAGCCCTCTTTGTCCTCCAGTCACTCACACTCCTTCTAGGCACCTCCTTTTCTTTATAGTTGCATCATCCACGTGTGCATCCTTAAACATGACAGTTAAGATTTGCCTATTTTCCTTTTTAGTATAATAAGTTTAAAATGCGGAAGATTATATTCAGCATTTGTTGTAATTCACCCACCAGATTCTTCGTTTGTAATAACAGCATTCTTACACATAATGATTAGCACTTACCCAGCGTATCACACATTTTTTTTTAGCCAATTTAACCATCATTAAATCTCTACAAGCTAAGACTATAGTTAGTCCTGCTTACTAGTTGGAGAAATTAAAGCTCCGCATGGCTCAATGTCTTGTCAACACCACAAGGAAACCAGGTCTCGGGGCTCTTGTTACTGCACATGGGATTAGACTATTTTTAAGGGACCCGCTCAGCACTCAAGTGCTAGGCAGATCCGAATGGGTTACAGGCACTTGCTAAAGGGCACACTATACTTGAGCATCCTCCATTCGCATCAAGCATAAGCATACACCGCACAAGGCGACAATCCAGACAGGATGGGGGTGGCTTGGACCACAGTGACAGCAGTGCGAGTGGGTATGTTTTGAAGGTAGAGCTAGCAAGATTTGCCAAAGGATTGGAAAAGATGTCAAGGATTACCTCAAGGCTTTTGGGCTGAATACCGGGAGGAATGGGGTTCGGCTGTAGCAGACTTTGTTTTGTTTCGTTTTGGCAGAGAGGGGGCAGGGAGGTGGCAGCAAGAGTGCTGCTTCAGACACCCCGAGAGCCCCACTACACATCCCGGTGGAGAGATGGGATAAGGGGTTGGACTTACAACAAAAGGTGTCAAGGCGATCATCCAGACAGACATGGGGATGGCTTGGACCATGGTGCCCGCCGTGGGAGTGGGTGTACTTTGAAGGCAGAGCTAACAAGATTTGCCGAGGGATTGGAAACGAAGTCAAGGATTAACTCAAAAGTACGCCTCAGTCTCAAACTCTCCCTTCAGCGACCGCCGATCCCCACCCGCTCAGGTCCCTCCCGGCTGCGAGCCTCCCCCAGCCGCGACCAGCGACCACACGGGTGGGAACGCGGGTGGTGGTGTGATGGGCTAGTCACAGCCAGCACACAGATCACCGCCCTGTCATTCCATCCGGGGCCTCCAGCCTCTTACCTGGCAGTTCTACTCGCCCGGGGCCAGCGCACGACAGCGCACGCTCACCAACCTGCGGAGGACTTCGGGGCCTCCGCGCACACCTGAGTTTCCGGGTGCAGAATCCGATGGGAAGCCTGCGGCGGGCGGCGGCG